GATACTAGATTATTCGATTTTCATGTATTCTATGGTGTTGCCCAAAATCGGTCTTGGTCTTGCAGTCTTGGTCTTGTTCTTGCGTTTTCGCAAGACCAAGACCAAGACCGCCTAGTTTTTGCAAGACCAAGACCAAGACTGACCACGCAAGATTTAAACAAGACTAAGCCTACGAGACTCTTGCGTCTTGCAGTTAGGACTAAGTGTCTAGTGAGTATAGTAGTTCGGGTATATGCTCAAAGACTCTATGAGACGCACAAAAATATGTAATAAAAATTTGAAAAACTGGCTTATGCGCATTACGAACAATACCATAAACATACACACCAAATCAAAATATTAAAAAAATACATTAAAAAACGCATTTGACACGTGCTCAGAGGTCATAATTACAATGTAAAAATAAAATATTTTGTAGTCTTTTCCAGCAGATGACTTCTTCGATCTGAAATTAATTGTCCAGATTTTGAGAATAACTGCCTTTCAATCATAAAATAATCTTCTTGCATTGCGACGTCGACAGTAATATCGTATCGATTTTTTTTTTTAAATATGTCACCTAGCTAATACAAAATATAACACTTATTGTTACGGACACCCACTTAATAACTCAATTTTTTCGCATTATAATTTAGTTAGGAGGAATCTAAATAAACAAATCTTATCGACCTAAATTGTTTCTGCAGAATATGCGATGAAATCATTCGGTTAAACAAAATTTGCTGAGAGAGCACGGCTAATATTCAAAAGTAACGAGACAAATTAATAACAGATAATGTCGATACTTAGGGTAGTGGATAGTAACGGACATAAAGTAACTAGTAGTAGTTACTTTTTCGACATCACTATTTTCAATTGAGCTTTCCTTTGAGTCTAATGTAATAATAATGTAATAATAATTGTTCTTCATCTAATCCTTGTTGTTCCCAGAGTGCTAAGTTTACAATTTGATACGAGGGACAAAGATTTAAATAGTTCTAGTCGGAGAGTGAGCGTTGGAATTATAGATCTGAAAGATCTAAAAGCAAACTTGATGAGTTTTTCGAAATAATTCATGCATCCCAAATTGCTTTGTGTAAATTGTGCCTACATAGAAAGGTTGAAATGAAAATAAAAAACAGAAATACGTCAGGTTTAAGGAAGCATCTAATATATTTTCACAAAAAGGAATTGAATCGGTCATTTTAAAAACCACATATATCATCATTTTATCAAAAATAACTTTTCAACCTTATCATGTAGTTTGTACCAGGCTCTATCATTTCGTAAACAAATCACACTAATCCCATCCTTAGTAATATAAGTACTCCAAAAATATTCAGTTCATTTGAAAACCACATATATCCGGGATATATGTTGTTTTTTAATGAATAATTCTGTGAAAATGGATACCGACGTACGTGAATCAAATAAGGACGTAAAAAGGTTGTAAAAAAATGTTACCTTCAAGTGTGAAATAGTTAAAAAAGCTCGGGTGCAAGGTATAGGTAGAGTATATAAATGAAATGAAAGATAGGCACACAGTGAACATCGAAGAACTGAGGAATTTAAATAAAACCATTTCAAAAGCTGTTAGGAAAGACATAAGGGATTTTAACACTGAAAAAACAACTAATACCATAGAAAAAAATAAAGGCCTTAAAGTTCTTAAACGAAAGTTGAAGACAGGTACCAAAAACATTTATAAGCTAAAAAATATACAAGGACATGCTGTATATGAACAACAAGAAATTATAAAAATTAACGAAGAGTACTATTGAGTATTATATCGTCGAGATACATTTCACAGGTGGAAATCCCAGCCATACAAAATCAAGGATCAAAGGAACTTCCATATATAATCGAAGAGAAAATCGAATTAGCGTTGAAAGATATGAATAACAGCAAATCACCTGGAGAAGATGGCATTGTAAGTGAAATGCGAAAATTAGGAGGCGAATGCATCATAAAAGTTTTAAAAACCCTTTATAATGCCTGCCTCTGAAGGAGTTTCGCCAGAAAATTGGAATGGTGCCATTATGATAATATTACACAAAAAGGAGATGTAACAGAAATTGGAAACTACAGACCTATCAGCTTGTTATCTCATTTATATAAGCTCTATGAGCTCTATATATATATATATATTATATATATATATATATATATATATATATATATATACACAATGTGAGTGAGATTAAAATCTCACTGTAAATGAGGATATCGGTCAAGGAGAAATAAAAAATGAAAAAACTTTTTCAATCTTTTAATAGAAAACGTTTCGTGCAGTATTTTTGCTCTTCTTCAGTTCTAATGATTGTAAACTCATATATAGATGTCAAACATATAAATAATATATATATATATATATATATATATATATGTATATATATATATATATATATATATATATATATATATGTATATATCATATATAAATGTCAAATACATGTGTTGAGATGTTATAAAATACACTAAATAAATACAATATAAGTTACAGTAAAAAATACATTCAAAATTTTATTTAAAATTTATACAAACATTGAAAAGTTAACAAAACGTCACAATATGTTAACAAGAACAGTATAATATAATACAACACTTCTAGTCTATCGCTGATGTACAATATATCGAAACATGAAGCCTAGAGAAAAAGTACCTTGTTTTAATTAGAGCTCAGTGAACAATTTGAAAAAAACTATTTTTATTAAAAAAGCATTGAAAGTTAACTTTATTGTTAGATACAAGAAAGTAATTAAAAAAAGGAACTGTTTTTGATAGATAGTGATCTATTCCGAAAAGCAAAACAAATAATAAAAATGGCTTTGGAAATCAGTCTCTGTATAAAAATTAACTGATGACAAAAATACTTATTTACAGGACAGAATAGAAAAGTCAATTTGTTTAAAATCTTATTATAAGAGGGTTGATAATAAAATGTACCGATGACCACTGCTGAGGAACCTAGAATTAGTGAATATAAATGAATTATAATGTGATATGAATTTATTAAACTCACCATGTGGTTCCTTTTGGAAAAGATTTTACATCGAAGTGTGATGTATGAAGATTGCTAAAGTTCTCGTTGAAATGAATATAGGAATATAATTTTGAAGTATCAAGGTAGAACCGATGGTAGCTGTTTTTTTTTAGAGGACAAAAACTGAAAAATTTAGGCCATGTCTTGATCGGATTTAGGTGTACCTAAGTTAAATTATGAAATGTAACATTAAACTACTAGAAAGATTGTAAGGATTATTCAACAGCAAGAAGTGATAAATGATGCTGAGATTATCAATGTCAGTACGTCTATTCATGGAGTTTTTTTTCTCTTAATATGGTGGCACATTTCCAGGAAGGATCTCTTATAGAAATTATTTTCAGTTCCTAGAGATTTAGTATTCTCAAAGTCGATTTGGTGGTTAAGAGAGATATAGTGGGTACTGAGAGCACAAGAACTCTTGTTGCATCTGATATCACTTTTGTGGGATATAACACGCCCTTTAAGGGTTCTTTTTGTTTGACTAATATACTTTAAATGACAGTTTTTGCATGAAATGTTATATACTGCATTGGATTTCTCCCAAATATCTACAGATATTTTGGTACGTGAAAAGAGATTTCCAACTGTTTTACAATTTTTGATGCATATTTTATTAGATAGGTGTTTGAACAATTTGGTAACTTTCTCTGTAGCCTGTGGGAAATAGGGTAACGAGCAAAATCTAGGAGAAGACTCAGATGTGGAAACCTCATCAAGGTGGAGTTCATTGTTTTCAAGTATGTTATTATGCAAATCTCCCACATTGGTATAAGTCGGGTCAAATAAGGACCTTGCAGTAGAAAAAAGACATCTATTAATAAGAAAAGTTGGATAACAATTCTCAATTAATATGCTTTTGATTAACTGAGTGGCTTCCCATCTATATAAAGGATGTGACAACTTATGAGTCCTTAAGGCTAATCCCTGTACGAGGTTGTGTTTGAATCTTTTAGGATGAAAGGAATAATAATTAAGAAAGCGATTGCTAGCAATGCTCTTTCTAAACAATTTGGTTCTTAGGATGTTGTCAACACCTTGTACAATTAACATGTCAAGAAACGGAATAGTGTTATTAACCTCCATCTCGCATGTGAACTGCTAGTGGGGATTGTATTCATTGAAGACAGAAAGGGTGTAAGTAATTTGATCATGGTACGGCCAGGATCAAGTAGTCAACATACCTTTTGACAAAAGGAATGTTGTAATCTAAGTGACTGTGATTCGGATGGAACTGGTCTTTGAAATTCAGAAAAAAAAAACAACCAACCAACCACAATCGGTAATTCGTCTATTAAAACTTCTATTTGGCATTAATAGGAAAATTAATTAATTGGTTTTCTTCTTTTCAGTTAGTGAGTTACAGTCCAGAGGCGTTACTGATGTCAGAACCATGAAAACCAATCATAAAGGGAAATATCTCCAGAATTTAAGGCAAACAAACAAAAACAAGTTGGGTCTGCATTATATGGATTTTCAAAACATGAAACGCTAGTATCATATATTTTTAAGAGAAACAAGGCTGTAATAATCATTTCCTCTATGCATCACTGTTGTACTACGGATGTTGCAAGTAACAATCCTAAAATAATATCATTCTATAATTCAACAAACGGAGGCGTTGGTGCACTAGATGATAAATGCCCCATTTACAGCTCATCAAGGAGAACTCGACGTTGGCCAATGGCTATTTTTGATCAAATATTAGACTTGACTTGCGTCAATGCATTTGTCATGTCTAACTGTTTCAAAAATAATGAAAATACATCCCGAATCAAATTCGTAACGGCACTGGATCCCACTTATCATTTAGCACTATTTGTGAGTTTATAAACTTGTTTTAGCTGAACATTATTTTACTATTCAATATATTCTCGTATCATTTTAAAACGACGTACCTGACCTTTTTCACTTTTTGTGATAATAGATATACCTTTTTGGGATATAATAAATATCAAACCGTAATAAACTTGGGATTAAAAATACTAACACCTTTTAATTAATAAATATATTGTCAATATTAAAGTACAAAGTTGTATTGCATTCTATTTTGTTTTACTTTTCAGAAAAAGCTGAATTTCTTCCAAAGACTTTCCTTTAGTTTCCGGAGTAAGCTTAATTACAAAGACAAAAACGAATAAACTTAGAACCGAAAACGTAAAAAACGGTATAGCAAATGAACCGTAATAGCTTTCAAGCCAATGAAATGCTTTTCCTGTTATTACAGTACAAATGGACATAGACAACTCAGTCATTGTAAGAGCATTAGCCCTGACTCCTGTTGGAAATAACTCACATGCGAAACAAAACGGAGCAAAGGATATACCGACATTATAAAAAATATTATATAAAATTAGAGCCGTTAGGGGCAACCAATTTAAGTAAGCAAGCCATTCACTCTTCATATCATCTAATTGGAAATAAATACCAATAGCTAAAAGGGTTATAATACACCCAGTAGTCGAAATTATACACAAGATTCTTTTGCCGAATCTGTCAAGAATGAAAAAACATGTTAGAGCAGCTATCAACATTTCTACTGCAGAGTATGATATTGTAGATACTGTCGGACTAATATTACTTCCAGTTTTTTCAAATATGGTTTTAGTAAAAAACAATAAAGGACTTTTGGCACTAGCTTTATTTTGTAAAACTATAAGAAAAGTAATAATAGTGGCACGTCTGTTACTTGGAACTGTAATTAAATCAGTAACTTTAGGTTTACCTCTTTCCTCCTCTTCCCTTATAGTTTCTTTTATAACCATTAATTGTTTTTTAACATCCTTATCTCCTCGTAGTATCTGCAAAGATTTTTCTGCGTCATCGTATCGTTTAACTTTAATATACCAGTATGGCGATTCAGGCATAAATATAAAGGTAATGAAGTGTAGTAGGGGAATAATTGATGATATTATAGCGCAGGTAAAAATATTCCAGATGGAACCAATAATATTAATAAATAAAATACCAAAAAGAAACATTAAAGTTGGAAGTGAGGACAAGAATCCTCTAATTTCTGGAGAAGATATTTCTCCGATATATACCGGAAATACAGTAAAACTGAATCCATCTGCTACTCCAATAATAAATCTTATAGCAAATAACATCCAAATATCATTTGCAAATGCCAGCCAAATATTTCCTAAGAACGCTATTGGAGCTACCATAAGAACGGATTTTTTTCTACCTAATGTGTCTCCTAAATAACTTCCCAAAATTGCACCTAATGGGCAACCCATTGCACTCATTATAGCTATCCATGATCCCTGTTCACTAGTAACAGGTATTGTTGAAGATTGCTGAGGTTAGATACGGTAGAAACGGCGACGTCCATCCGTTGACCACACCATAACTAATTAGGTTAAAGGAACCTAAAATGAAAATTTTTATTATTAAGCAATTTATTTTTAAGACTATTAAACAAATATTTTGTTTAGATTTTGTTTTTTATCTTTTTTTTTTTAATTTTCCTTAAACGATTTATATTTATGTTGACTAAGAATTATTAAATTTTATATAAATTCTTATTACTACAGCGGTTTCGGTAGAGTGCCTTTCTTAAGTGATCTATTTTTGGTATGTGTTTACACTTTATAGATAGTCTTTAACGAAATAGGTTGAGGAGGGGAAAAATGTTTGTCTCAAATTGGTCATTCAGGATTGTGTCTGTGTTTTTTAATTTGTTAATTTCCATAGATTCTAATAAAGATAGCTCAAGCTAGTTTTTTGGAACCTGTAGTTTTTTATGCAGTTCCGACATGTTAACTGTCAAAATTTTTATTGTTTTATTAGTATATAAATTTTATATAATTTGTATACACCATTTAAACGAGCAAGTATTAAAGGAGAACAACTAAAAGGAAGTAAAGAAGTAAAAAAGAAAAAATGTAAAATATATTTAGAGATAAAAAGATGATAAACACTGTAGCTTTCATTCCTTTATTTAAAACGAAAATATTCTCAATCTTTTTGCGTCGCTGATATTGATAATATGAACATTTCTAGTATGTATATACTATATAACACTAATTGTCTTCTTTTGATGTTGATTCTGCTTAATATTGCGCGTCAAATAAATATTCACTTAGATTGTTGGGAAAGTGATGGGGGAAGATTATGAAATCACTTTACGGTGGCATGCCAAAGCGATTTTGTCCGGGTTTTCTTCAAATTCGTTATTGTTATTCGTTTTTATCATGGAACTATAGTGTAAACTGATTTACTCTACGACGGAACACCATAGCGTTTGGTTTCATTGTTGAGTCCGGATTTTCTTCAAATCCGTTTTTGTTTCTTTGTTCGTTTTTGTTATGGAAAATGTGTAGTATAGCAGCAGTGTGTAGTTTAAGTGAAGGTTAAGATTTTGATTTCGAAAGAAATAGCTTGCGGCGTGTGGTTCAACGAAGCCAGCAATTTTTTTTGTGGAAGAGGTGAATTTGAGCACAAGATGCTAAATGGCAGTAATTGTTAAGTTAATCACCGATTTCTTGTACTGTGTCCTATATGAGGAGTTTTGTAAAGCAGCGTTACAACAATTGGACAAGGTCCACATGGTTTTCAGCAGGAGCGTTTGAGAGGTCGAGTTTTGAAAAGTGCAGATTGGTGTCATCCAGGATAATTCGAAGACCAAATCAGTGTCCTACCTCCTCTACTTGTCCATTTTTTTGTGTTCCATGGTCGTCCCATATCATTTACAGTTTATGTGGTACAGTGTTTATGATCAAATTCCAATCCCAAAATCTTTTTAGAATAAATACTAGCCAGAGTGATTATAAGGTACTTTTTGTTAAAATTTTTCTGAGTAAAGATAGATATTTTTCATTAATAAATAAATTTTGCTTTTATGAAAAATTAACAAAAATTATAAATAAATAAAAATTTAAGTTTTATGGATTAGCTAATTGTCATATTAGTCTACTTTTAAATGCAATTAATTTTAAAATTTAATCAATATTTCAAGAAGGTTTGATATTTCATTTCGACATATGACAGTTAGTATTATCTTTTCTACATTTGGCAAATAACCAATTTTGAATTATTTTGTTTAAATGTAAACCTCAATGTAAGCTCTGTTGAAAAATTTAGATAATTTTTATTTGCAATTATAATTTAAATTCCTACAAGTGTCCCCGACGTAAGAATTATTTCATTTAAAAGATTTTCACCCTTTAATATTTTTTAGGAAAGAGAAGCCATTTTTTCTATCCAGCAAGAGAATTCTTCTAAATGGCGTCCAAATTCAAATAGTTCACGAACCTTCTTGTGTTTTGTTGCCCAGGAAATCTATGTACGTATTTTTTGATTTCTTTGTAGTTACACGTTGCAGTCGCTTCTTTATTCACGTACTTACGACCCACCTCTCCAATTAAAACAAGTCTATCTCTAGTCCAGTAATTGCTGTCCCTACTTTCAATCCCCTATAAGTGATACCCAATTATTGCTCCATAGCCTGCAGTAAAAGTGAGCAGAGTTGCTTGTATATAAAAAATGTGAGTAGTGTATTGATGTATCTGTAAAACAAGCCAAAGGTGTGGTATCAGTTCAATGCGGAATTTACATCGTGTAGTAGGGAAAACAGGTGTAGCATATATGTAGTGCTAATCGGTGAAGTGAAAATTCTTTCGATTAGGAAGAAAGTGTGTTCCTGTGGGATAGGTATTTATCCAGGAGGTGTTTTGCAGAATATTGTAGCGGCGTTAGTGTATGTGAGAGTGTAACGAGAACGTTACTTTAAAATTTGGTAAACATTTGTGAATAAATTCTAAAATCCCAATCCTCTTAATGACTTTCTGAATTTTAAAATTTAAAATTGGTATTAAACCACAACACCAAACGTCCAAATTGGGAACCATAGTTTAGCTGGCTCAAAGCAAGCGATTCCGATCTCACTTCTGTTTCGACGTTCGTAAAAGACACTTAAGTTTAAAGGTAAGAGAGAGAGGCGACATACAGAAGGTTTTTTTTTTCTTGAAGTTAAAAGTTTTTATTTATGAAGATGTAGTAGAGAAGTTTAGTTTGGGTTTTTTTATGAGTGTCCTGTTTTGTTTTAAAGCCACCTTGATCTGGTAAGTTTATAAAATTATCAATATAACGGAAATAAAAAAACTCATTAGCCATTTTGAGATCCTGTATTGTCACGTTTCAATTCGATATATTTATCTGAACTTTTTTCCATTATTTCATAAAGAAATATTCAGCATCTAAACCGAAGTGTGTTAATTGATATAAATCATATGTATTTTAATTTTACTTCCCGGCCATAAAACATAATTATTTATCGGTAAAATTGCTATTAAGAGTATCGTTACAAATATTCTGTCTTATACCGCTCTCTATATTATAAAATATATTCGTATCATATCATGCTTTTTATTAAAATTATCGATATAATTAATCCACTTTACTTAAAATAATTGTCAAAACCATACGACGGCCACTTTATCTAGAAAGCCATTAAGTTTTTGCCTTCACTTCATAAGTAACCTTTATAAAACTTTCAAGGTTCATAGACCTTGTGTTTTTCCGTACTCTGTCTCAATAATAAGAAAGATCTCTAAAACAAATGTTTTTTTAGCCTACCTTTTTGGGGAAGTCGAACAGAAGTTGGGGAAAAATTGGCTTTGTTTTTGCTTGGAATATTTTTATTTTAAAGAAGAAAATTTAAGTTAGAACCTAGTCAGGTTACACCTGGTTCCTGACCTGTTTTTCACTCATAGCTGTTCGTTTAGGGGTCCAGCCTACTCTTAAACTATTCCCGGACCACTTTAGGGAACCAGACGGAACGACCTCCCCCTTTTAGGGTGTGGAACACTATTAAGTGATCGTCATATTCACCAATTTAATAATATTTTTGTATAATATTTATTTTGTATATTTAACTTCCACTGTTTCATTTAATAATAAGAGCCGTAATTTTTTTAATAATTTATTGAATAACATTTTAGGACTAATTGTCAACTACAGGTAGAGGTCTTAAAGCCTCCCGTTTAACTCATTTGTATGATTTTGTGTGTAGGTACACATTTAATCAGAGAGTTATCTTTTTTTAGATTTTATTATCATTATATATTTAAACGTTTGGAAATTTATCTCGTCAAGATAGTGTCCTTATTACTTGTTAAACCATTAAAATCTTTTCTTTATCTTACTATTTGTAAATTCAGATCAATTGTCATTGTCACTAAATTTATTCTTATATTTTATAATTTATAAAATCCGATTATCAAGGATCAGTTATGTGTAACCAGGGTATTTTTTTTTGTATATAACTAGATTGGCTGTACATAATTGGTGGTGGGTATATAAGATAAATTTAGATTGTACATATTTGGCTAGGAATTAAAGTTTTGGTGAAAACTAAATATTTCAATTCATACCTAGATCATTTTCTATTTCAGTAACTAGCTTTACAAGATACCTTGGATCTTGTAAATACTTTCCTGGCGCCCACTCACATTTTGGAGCAACTTCTATAATCATTTTTATTTATCTTAGCTATATACCTATAGATTTTTTCTTACTAACTTGTCATTCATTTTCTAATTCTACGGTCTCTGTAGGGCATGCAAATTGGCCGAATTCTCCTTTGAGTGTCAAGTAGTCACTCTCCGGCACCTTCTGCTAGCCAGCTTTAAATTATATGTTATCTGTTCCATCATCCCACACATTTTGTGTTTCATTTCTAAACGTTTTGTTACATTGACGTGCAACAGAATAAAGTATTTTGTTACAAGAGACTTTCACCAGCTGAGAAGAACAGGGGTGTGTGAAACATTCAAGAATAAAAAAAGGACTTTCACTTTCAACCACACTCGTAACGATATTATAACTAATTTGATTCTTTCAACATTTTGTTCAGCTATTCGCTTTCTTAAAAAAATATAAAATTTAATTAAGAAATGTTCTTTTTGAGTACAAGTCATAAAAAGTATTGATAATTTGTGTATGAACATTAGATAATTTTTTTAGTTTAATTATAGGTAATAAAGCATAGATTATATGTTTGGTTTAATTATAAATTTATTTTAATCAATTAAAACGCAGACATCGAGCACAGTTTATTAATTAAATCTTGCCCAAGTACTTTCGCTTTATAGAGCATCTTTAGGGGCATTTCGTTAATTTTGGCCTATCCAACAATGATAGAATATCATAGACAGAGAGGTAGGACAGGGTAATATACTATGCTCAAAAATATTTGCAGCTCTCCTGCAAGATATGCTAAGTAACAGAATGGAGATCAGCTGGAATTAACAACATTGGCAGAGAAATTTTAAACCACCTATGTTTTGCGGACGATGTTGTATTGATTTAGGATAATACCGAGGAAGTGCAATATACTTATATTAAAAGAGAAAAGTCATCCACAGAAATTTGTTTGAAAATAAATATTTCAAAAACCGAGAGCTTATGACAAGTCTAGTGACTAATGCTCTCTCTTTAAATTACATCAACATCACTCAAGTAACTAGATATTTAGGGCATAAGATAAGCATTAAAAGATACAATCAAAGCGGTTTCAAAGAAGAAGAATAGGTTTGAAAAATTAAAGTACATATTGAAGTCTGATACTCTTATGTGTCTGAAAAGGAAAGTTTTTAATCGATGCCGATGTGTACTATATGTCCTAACCTATGGTAGTGAAACACTTACTATGACAAAAAATAATTTACAGAAAATACCTAGATAGAATGTACCATAGAATGTAGATAGAATACTCCGAAAATATAATTGGTGATTATCAAAATGGATTCAGACCAAATAGAGCCACTACAGATAACATATTCATACTAAGAACGATACTAGAAAAGCTTATGAATACGACATAAACCTATATAATATGTATATAGACTTTAAACAAGCTTTTGATAGTGTGAAAATAGACAGAATGCTGGAAGACCTTTGTAATCTAGGTATACCTAAGAAATACATCAGCCTCATAAAAATGACGTTGCAGGGTTCAAAAGCCGCAGTCAGAGTAGATGGAGAACTGACTCCCCTGTTTAACATCAACATAGGAGTAAGACAGGGAGATGCCCTATCAACCATGCTATTCAACCTAGTTCTTGAGGCAGTCATCATAAAAACCAATATAACCGGCCATATAAACACCAAATCAGTACAAATTACTGCATATGGAGACGATGTAGCCATCATCAGTAGGAATAAGCCACGACTAATGGAAGTGTTCAAACAAATTGATCCTGAAGTAAGAAAAAGAGGTCTCAAAATAAACGAAGCAAAAACGAAGTATATGACAGTCAAAAGAATAACTGACAATGAAAATAATATCACAATAGACAACTATACTATCGAACGAGTGAATGCCTTTACATATCTCGGCACAGAAATCAATCAGAAGAACTCCGTAAGTAGCGAAATTAATGCAAGTATTTCCAGTGGATATCGTACATCATCATCGAGTCTTCTTAAATCGTACATACTAAGCTAATAAAAGATTGATGACATCGAAATTATTAGACAAAAGAACCAAAATGACTATCTACAGAACACTGACTAGACCCGTAGTAACCTATGGATGTGAAACTTGGGTAATGACGAAAAAACATGAAGCCCAACTCAGGACATTCGAGAGAAAAATACTGAAGAAAGTATATGGCCCAGTACAAGAGGAAGATGGCACATGGAGAATCAGGAGAAACGACGAGGTTAATGAGTTAAATGAAGGTTATGACATTGTAAGATTTGTGAAAAGTCAAAGACTGTCATGGCTGGAACATGTGCAGAGACAAAACGATGCAAAAACAATGATAGTTGGATGACGTGGAAGACGACCTGAAAACAATGAATATAAGACAATTGAGAAGAAGGGCACAAGAGAGATCTGAATGGAAGGACATAGCCAGACAGGCAAAAACCCATCCAGGGTTATGATGCCAAAAGAAGAAGAAGAAGAAGATAGAATGTAGAGAAATATGGAAAGATCAATGCTGGGAATAATTCAAAAGGACTGAGTTTCAAATAAAGTATTCAGGAACAATCTAAAATAGAATTGTGTCAGACATGTTAGTGGAATTTAGCAAAGACACCGACGATATAATGAATTGCTGGAAACTGGATAAAAAAGAGACAAGATAGAGAGGAGTGGCACAAAACTTAAAAAGGCCTACTCTCAAAAGTGAAGAATTTAGGTTTTATAGATAGAGATAGATAGACTATAAAAGTGTGTTATTAAATATTTTCCTTTTAACTCACCCGAAAACGCTGCTAGGTATTGAAAAAGATTTTTGGAATATACAGCCCTCATCTTTGGACAACCAACGCACACAAAAAAACTTTCCAGAACAGTTTATGTGTGTTCTTTAACAGGTACCAATATTTTCGACATATTATGCAAAAATCATCTTGCTTTTACAATTATGTTAAATCTGATAAATGTATCAGTTGTGTGTCTGATGTATTTTATATCACTTAAATATGATGCAAAGAACGACTTATAATCGAAATGTACGTGGGTTTTAAATAACACATAACAATTTGTTAGTTTTAAACAAAATACTATAAATAATAATTATCTTTGTTGCGAGGAGCGAATCTTATTTGAAAGTATTAAAATTATGTTTAATTTGCACTTTTATAATTTTAAAACATTTTCTACTTGTCAAAATGTAAACCCTACCACTATTTTAATCTCCATTCTTTATTTAAACTTTTTGCTAAATAAAGTCAATAAGAATTAAATACATAAACTAAATTAAACGCAAAACAATTAACGTTATACGTCTGACATTAATATATTCATATGTAAATAAAAATAAAACAACATGGTAGTAAACGATTTTATGAACTTCTAATCTGAATTGTTGTTTTAAAGCTTTACAAAATGTCAGAATTATCGGGTGGTCTGATAAGCCATTATCCTTTGCCCATTAGAGTGCTACAACGACCCAAAAAAACATTAGTTCTATCGGTGATTAAATAACCCCAATCAACGGTTCTATAAAGTTAGAAAGTAACCTTTTTTTGGTATATACAGAAGCGGACTAAGGCCTAGAAACTTGCCTAAAGCACAGTATAAAGTGGTTCCACCTCTTTATACTGTGCCTAAAGCCCGTAACTTTTGGGGCCCAAAAATTATTTTTTTTTATTTGTATAATTAATTATGCCGAATCGTTGTTTGATAAATTCTACTTTATTACTATACACACCCGCAAGTGTCGATGTCGATGTATGCAATACAATAGTCTTGCGCCTATCAAGTTTAAAAAGTAAAACGTTAAATCAGTCTCCTGAACGTTAGGTATTGTATCTTATGTGAGTTGTGTTTGAAAATTGTGCAATTAAGACTTACGTCCTAGAATTGACTGCAAATAGATTGCTTTGGATTAATAGTTAATACTTTGTGAAATTTCTAAATATAGAAAACCAATCATCAGACACTTCGGCTACGTCGGAATCTGGATCGCCACAAACACCTACGCCATTCAAAAATGAAAATAAGGCAAAACGTCCAAAAAGAGCTGGTTCTTATCTTCAAGCTATCGAGAATATATCGCTGCAAATTACAAAGTAGATGCGGAAAAACTTGCACCGTTTATCTCATCGTGTTCTGGATCTACAAAGCCTAGTTCAGGAAAAAAATGAAAGCTGGAGGAACACCTAAACCGAAATAAACTAGATGCACTTAAGCCAAAAACCGCTAAAGCTACCGAAAGTTCAACAAAAGGCTAGAAAAGCTGCTGCTCCTAAGAAAAAGTATTTAAACTAATTAATGTCTTCGATTTATTAAAACAAATGTAAGTTTTTACAAAAGTACTAAATTATTTAATTGAAATAATATAAAATACCACAAATTGTGATTGTGATATTGAGTAAAATAAATTAAAATGAAGATCATTGTTTTCTTTCTTTTTAGTACGTACTCTTTAAAATGAGGTCCTATAAAAATTTAAGTGGGTATGACAAAATAAAACGAAAAACAGATAGAGATAAAGTGGAACAACCTGGCCATCGAATATGAGTAGTGAGATCACACAATATTGCACATAGGCCCATGGCTGATGGACTATTCTTTGTCACTTCCTTTTCTTTCACAGTTCGTTAAATTAAGTCTTCTCATATCTTCTTTAACTTCGTTGCTCCATCTTGACCTCGTTCTTCCTCTTCGCCTTTTGCCTGCCAATCCACTAGGTAGTACCATTCTGGGAATGCTAGATGGAACCATTCTCTCCACATGACCCAACCATCTAAGTCTTTGAACCTTAATTACCGCTAATATGTTGCCACAAGACTTTGCGCTCCCAAACTAATAAAAACTTTTGGTGTTTTATTATTGTGACACAGAACCATACATCACTATTGGCCTTATTACGGTTTGTATGTCCTTAGTTTTGCTCTTTAAGATATATTTTTGCTTATTAACAACCCATTGACGCGGTTGTCAGACATAATTCTTTTCTGTGTTCTTCCTCAGAGTTAGGTTCTCTTGTGAAGACATTTCCTAAGTACCTACTCAAATCTTTTAACTTCTTCGAATTTATATTGTGTTACTTTTTTTGGCTCAGACTATCGTCATACAGCCAGACACAAAAGAACTAAGACAGTCATCATTATAATTATTTACCTAAATGCCCTATCAAGATAGAAGATTACATCGATATTAGGAGAACAGGGACACACTCTTCTCGCCTAGGGACCTATCAAGGCATTGATTTATACTTGTTCCTCCTCTCCGTGACAACACTAGGTCACGGAGAGGAGGAAGTTATACAAATGGTTTAAAACAAAGGTAACAAGATTAACTAAATAATTTTTAGAGAATTATAATGATAATTTGCTGTTTTTTAAAAATTTTATTAAAGAGTTGTAAATATCTACAGAGCCAAGTGATAAAAAATGTAGCATATTCCAAGGAGCTGCTATTTTATATTTTAATAAATCATTTATAAGTTTGGATGAGTAGACTCATAAGTGCTTTGGATAACATGCGTGTCCGAAACGTATTCTAATAATGGAAGTTATGTGCCTCCTGGAAGCTCTAAAAGACTTGTACCAACGAAATTTGGGAATATCTGGCTGAATTATCGAGTATCTGTTTTGGTTCACAAAAGAGTATTCCTTCCACTGGTACCTCCACTCTCGAAGCAATGTTGACTTGCAAGAAACAATACTGTCAGAAAGCGTTACTTTATGTAAAATACCAGTATCGGTTAAAATGCTTTCTTTGGCTAATAAGTCGACATATTCATTATGTTCAAATCCTGCATGTGCTTTAATCCAGAGACAATGTACATTGATTCCTTTAGTTAAAAGAGTTTGAATAATATGTTTAATTCTATAAATGTATGAGCAGTCTTGTAAGTTTTTATGGTCCATATTTACCAATGGATTTTAACACTGCCAAGGAGTCGGACAAAATTATAATATGGGCAAAATCAACTTCAGCTACATATAATAAAGCTTCATATATTGCAATAGCCTCTGCTGTATAAATAGAAGTTTCCGGGTTTAGTTTGAATTTCTTTTGTATATGTTCCGATGGTATAAAAAAAGCGCATCCGGTTCCATCTGGAGATTTAGACGCATCTGTATATAGAGCTATTGCCTCTTTGTATTTGCTTGTTATAGATAGAACAATATTTTTATTTAAATATATATTTTCACTATAATTTGGTACAATAATATCTGTATGTAAAAAGAAAGAAGAGTAATTTTTTGAATATGTAGTTCGTTCTATCTATATTTTTTTAAAGTGCTATATTTTGATTATACGCTTCGCAAAGTAAGGGAGATTTCTTTTTTGCCAATATTTATTTGTCAGGTCATGGCAATTTAAAGTGACTATCTTTTCGTATAGAGATGAGTTCAGTAAGTATACTTTCAATAAATATTTTTTGGACAAAAACCTTCGTCTTATATTTAAAGGAGGTTCCAAGGCTTCCAAATATAAAGCTTGTACTGTAGGGATCTCATGGCTCCTAAACATATTCGTAAGGCTGAGTTCTGTAAAACGTTGATTTTGTTTAGTAGTACATTAGTTGCTGATCCATATAAAACACTTCCGTAATCCAAAATAGATCGTATGTAAGCTTTGTAAAATAATAAACTTACTTCAACATCCGATCCCCCCAAGTTTTATTAATTGATTTAGGAAAGTTTAATCCCTTAATGCATCTGTTCAACATGTCATCAATATGTAACTTCCAGGTCAATTTCTGGTCGAGTATCATTCCCAGATATTTAATTGTGTTTTTAAGCGAAAATTGGTGCCCACCTAAATTGATTGTACTGACATTAGGAAAGTTATGTCTGGTAAATAAACAAACTTGTGATTTACTGCAGGATAATTCGAAACCATTTTCTATAAACCATTTGTGATGGAATCCGTGCACTTCATTCAGGTTTTCAATGGATTACTGATATTTTTTGTGTTCTGTATACAAACAGAATTCGTCAGCATATTGTACAATATTAAATGCAATATTAGTAATAGTGATGTTGTGTAGATCTGCTGTGTAAATGTTAAACAAAATAGGACTCAAAACGGAGCCCTGAGGTAATCCTTTGTTATTAAGTCTAGGTCCTATAAGAGTATGATTTTCTTTTAAATAAATTATCCTATTTGTGTAAGGTTCACAACGTTAGAAGCAAACTGTGCTGGAATATGAAAAAATTTAATCATTTTTTCTTGGAGAATTGAAAGAGATACCGAGTCGTAAGCACCTTCGATGTCTAAAAATAAAGCAGGTACATAACTGTTCCTGGAAAAACTATTCTGAATGTCTACAACAAGGGTTGTTAAGGAATCTAAAGTTCCATAACCTTTCTTAAAGCCATGTTGGTTAGCGGGTAAGGGACTTTGATCCCTTAGCCACCAATCTAACCTAATTTTAATCATCTGTTCAAGAGTCTTCAATATACATGATAATAATGATATAGGTCGGTAAGCTTCAGATTATGCCTTTACCCTCAATAATTATCTGGTTAAATATTTTTAAAAGTAATTATTTTGCGTTATCTGGCAAATTTTGTATCATAGGATATTTGACTGCATCATATCCTGGTGAGGTACTAACGCGATTATCAAGGACAAACTCTAATTCAGCTCTTGAAAAAGGTGTTAAGAGAAAATGATTATGATCAGATGAGAGATTTATCATTGTCTATATTTAAAAAACTTTCCTTGTTTAAGGGTGGTAAAGGTTGAGATGGTCCAAATCTGAAAGGGATGTGAGGAGGTGTAGGATATTCGGAAGTTGGAGATGATACTTTTCTTTTTTTATTTTCCCTATAATCAGTGCTTGATTTACTACAACTTGGTTGATTAATATTTTTGGTTTTCTGTAAATGAGGCCTCAATATGTCGGAATAAGCAGGTATATTAACTTCAGATGTGTTAGTTAATTTTGGAAGTTCTTTATCTGAATTTGACAATATTTCAAACTGTTATTACAAATAAGACCAGAAAAAGAAGAATCGTTTAATTTTTTGGCCTCCAAATATGAAATTTTATGTTCAATCATATTTTTTTTTTTTTTTTGATGTTCGAAAAAAGGACAGTTTTTAGAAATCGATATATGCTTATCACTTTTACAGT